ATGTACTTCTCAAATATTTCTTCCAGTTAATTACGATAGAATATTATTACAATAGATCATTATTTTCTAAAACTGAAAACTAATCTATATCAAAAACCAATTGAAATAACTACTCCCTCCAAAATGATTGATCTCATTTATCCAAGGTGCTGTCATTATTCATTGGCAACTGGACTCTTTGTGACCCTTGCTTGTTATCAGGAATGGTCAATTTGGAGAAGAATTTAAAGGGAAATAACATTAGAAACGATTCATTAAAACAAATTGAAACTTTAAGAATTTACTTTAACATTAAAAATAAGATGTTTACAAATTATTTTACATATTTTGTGCACAAGTATTGTTATTTTTGTAGTTTTTGTCGCATTTTTTTTACTGACATGTTCTTTGGCCTTCTGCCGGTGTATATTATGTTATGATGTCTTTAAAGTCGTTTATTTTATACTTTAAACTCATAAAAAAGAAAAAGAACACAGTTTAACAAAAATACTGAACCACATGCCAAAGTTTAACGAGAAAAATTCAAGGCGAGACAATTAAAAAAAAATGTTAATCTTTTATCATGGAAATGACATTACGCTGATTCTTGATATTCAAGCAGTTTCCAAAAATAGTCTTCCAGAGAAAGGGTGGTCATGTGGTATTAAAATTTAAATTTGACTTGCTTATACATCTGAATTTAGATAGATAGATAGATAGATAGATAGATAGATAGATAGATAGATAGATAGATAGATAGATACTGACCAGACTGAGATAGATAGATAGATAGATAGATAGATAGATAGATAGATAGATAGATAGACCAGACTGAGATAGATAGATAGATAGATAGATAGATAGATAGATAGATAGATAGATAGATACTAGTAAAACGATATATGTCAGGTCAGGGGGTAACCCGTCGTTATATCTCTACTTCGTCATTGTTGTCTTGAATTTTTGTATCTGTCCAAAGTAGTAGGCACAGTATGGAATTCAATCTCCTAAAGTTGGTGATAGTTGTGTCTCTCAGTCGTGTTTGCGGTTGACTCTAGCCTTAAATATCTAGGATCAATTGTTATCCATCCTACGTAGCCTCATAATTTACATTTCTTAAGATTATAGTGATCGAGGAAGGATCCTCTAGGGAGTTTCTACAAAACACAAAACAGCAGCTCTTGGGAGGATGTTCGAAGAGAACTTCTTCCTTCTTACCAAGTCATTGGGGAATGAGGAAGATTCGCTCCTGCGTGCGTGGCATAGTAGGTCCTAGCTGTAAAGGTCTGAACTTGTATAACTAAGGAATATAGCTCGTCGGAATATTTTCGATAGAAATTCCGATAGTGTAGCGAGGGTGGAAAATAACTCGTCACCCTCAAGGCCGCGGGGTGTGGCTAGAATGAGGAAATAGATAAATCCGCGCAGAAAACTCTATAGTACTTAGAGTGTGCGCAGACCACGAGCAGCACTGTGTTGGCTTGAATATAGAATGGCACAGAAAATCCGAGACAAACAGCAGCTGTTTCGTTTGCAACATCTTGCTAGACACCATATATTAGTTGGGGTCTGCCTTCTCGTAGATTCTACCCGCATTTTTTGGTAGTCTCTACTAGAATTCGCCCAGCCAAGGATGCCCACAATGTAAGCGACTAGGAAAATGATGTGTTTATATGGCCGTTAACTCCTCAAAAGGGTACATTCGCGCTTTGACAAGTATTTATTTTTGTGTCCTACTTAATAAGGACAAGATTGGCGGTAAGGTTTTATAATGTTACAGATGAAATTGCTAGATGTAACCGCAAGTTCTATATTAACAGTTTCGTCTCTCGTACTTCTCACTTTTTTCCGTTTTCTTGCTTCCTCGGTCAATTTTAACTTTCAAAAACTTAAATGCAATGTCAGTCGTTGTCTTTTTTCTTCTTAATACCTATTCTTTTATTGTTCTCTCTCCTTAATAATGTTTTTATTGTCATATATTCTCTCACACTCAATAACCTATTACGTTTCAGTGGTTTCATTGCCTTTATTGTGGTGAAATGATGTTTAAAATGTCCTTTCTCAACAGTAACGGGTTTAGTCGCTAATTACCAAACCATGCCATAAGCAGTACTAAATTGCATAGTACCAGTAGCATTCAAGAAAGATCTTATAATAGTTGTTTTTTTTCTTTTTCATGTTATTACGCACGCAGTAATCTCTTGCATCTTAGTGGCTTTATTGCTTTGCTTGAGAGGAAATGATTAAAAAAATAACATATGTATACTCTATCATATTAATTGTAAATAAATAAATAATAAATAAACAAATAAATAAATGACTAAATACATATAAATATATATATATATAAATAATATATATATATATATATATATATATATATATATATATATATATATATATATATAATTCAATATATATAGTGTCTGAATTCTTTTGTGAAAAACATGATTTCTTTATATAGCTCGTGTATACTGCAGTTCTACTACTTCTGAGCAGTACTACTAGGCCTACCGTAGTGAAATATTGCAGTACTGGGCATCATCCTGGACATACTTATATCAAATAAATGGTTTTAATTCTTTTCTTCTTTTCTTTTTTTCTTTTCTTTTTTTTTTTTTTTTTTGTACAAGAAAACCACTTAACCTACTTTGTTTTCGTTCATGCCTGACTACCGTGGCTCCTTTAACCTGGGCCTGCCTCCTACGTAGCCTAAGTTTCTTCCTGTTTTTTCGCTACATGAAGAGCAAAAACTCATCTACTATGTATGCCCTTTTAAAATCAACAAATACCTTATATAAATAAAGAATTATGAGATTTTTTTCCCTCCCTTTAATTTGCATTCATTTTCATTTTGCATACTACGAAGGTATTGTATTTCCAATGATAGCCTTTTTGCCAGGATTGGCAATACATAATTCTAAAGGAGCTCACCTGTACCCTAAAGGTTAACCAAAGGTACCGTTAAAATGTAGCATTACCAGGTAGGCTACGGAAAAAATTACCTGTATATAGTGCAACTGGTCACCGAAAGCGTAAAAAAATGCCTGTGTATAGTACGACCCCCTAATTTTGAGTAAAAATTTGATCACAAAATCTCGCACTATATTTGAGTATATATGGTAAATAAGTGAATGATTCCAAATAGAATAACAATAAAATAAAATATCCTTATCAAATGAAATATTTACTGTTATAAATGCGGTTTTAAATGTAAAAAAAAAAACGGACGACAAATGTAGGCAATAAACAACCTTGCATATACCCTGACAATGACTTCGCTATAAAGTATAATATTCTATGCTGAATTAAAACAACAACAAAAAATATTTGAATATGAGAAAGACGGCACATTTGCATAATCTTGAATCTTGAAAACGGCCATAAGTATGGTTGAAGCGTTTAATTCTTACCATTCGGAAAATATCTACACTCATTGGTGTCAAACATTTACTCTATTGTATGTCTATCGAGGTCGATATTATCAAAAAAGTCACCTTGACAAATCGATTATGGTGACATCTGAAACCGAGTCTCATGGGAGGAACGTTAATGGGCTAACCATTCGGCCAAATATTGACAACAATGGCAGTCACAACAGCAGCCGCTGTACAAATATTAACGTTTATTAACTTAAACCCGATAACACTAAAACCGAATTTTCAAATAAACCGGTCAGGGTTCAATATGTCACCAGCTACTGTCTGCTGGTTATTATTAAATACTGGACAGCGTTTTCTTTACTTGTCACAGCTAACCAGAAAGAAAGCCCGTGTCTTTTTTTTTTCTTTTTCTTTTTTGTGGGTTTCGTTTTGTTTTTTTGTTTTTTAACTTTCTTATTATAGAATATTTAACACGCTGAATAGGTGCGTCAACCGCCACGTTTTTTTTTTTTTTTTTTTTTTGTTTTGTTTTTTTTCCTTCTTGGTCTTTCTATTAGCTTTCTTTTCCCCCGTCTTGCTTGCAACCAGCATTTAGTGGTTGCCGTTGTCCTTTTCTTTCCTTTTTTCTTTTTCTTTTTTTTTTTATCTTTGTTATTGTTTACTGGTTGGCAAAATTTAGCACAAGTTGAGAAGTCGTGGAGTCGCTTCGGTCCGTCTTCCATCAGGCCAGGTCGCCTTGGAGTAGGCAGATCAACAGGTAATAAATTGGCCAACATGTAATACAAGTACCCACTTTTAAGTAGCAATTGGGATGGGTTAGTATGTAAGGTCTTGTTCGGCAGAGGGGAAGGGGTAGAGGATGGGCAATGGTAAAGAGACAGAGAGAGAAAAGAAAGAAAGAAAGAAAGAAAGAACGAGAAAGAAATTGAGATGAAGCGAAGAGGAAAAACTGAAAGAGAGAGAAAGAAACTGAGAAATCAGAGAGTAGAAAGAAAAAGATTAAAAATTGAGAAAAAAAAAGAAAGACAATTTATGAGAGAAAGTGAGGGAAAAGAGAGAGAAGAAAATGAGCAATGTCGAGAGAGAGAGAGACAGAGAGAGAGAGATATGAAGAAGAGATGGAGTGAAAATAGAGAGAGATCGGAAAGAATATAAACAAAAAATAGAGAAAGAAAGGAAAGAGAATAAGAGGAAAGAAAGAAAGGAAAGAGAATAAGAGGAAAGAAAAATAATGAAGAAAGAAAAATGAGAAAAGCAAAGAATGTGATTTGTTGGAAAGAGAAAATCGAAGTAAAAAAAAAAGAAAATAGAATAGAAAAGAAATAAGAAATGAAGCGAGAGAAGAAAAAAATGAAAAAAAAATGAGAAAGAGGACAAAGAAGGTAGTGAATGAAAACAACAAGAAAAAAAGAATGAGAAATATACAAGTGAAAGTCAAATGCAAAAGAAAGAAAAAAAGAAAGGAACGGAGAGAAAGAAACAGTTTCGGAAAGAAAGAAAGAATGACAGAAAGAAAAAAAGACAAAAGAAAAAGGAAACAAAAAATGCAGGAAGTCAAAAAAGAAAGAAGAGGAAAGACAGAAGGCTGACAAGATGTAAAAGAGAATGATTTAAATAAAAAGAAAAGAAAGGGAACAATTAATGAAGGGAAAAAAGAAGGAAGGGGGAGGCTGTTGATAAGTAAGGAAGAAGAAAGAAAGTGTGACAAGAAGAGAAAAAATGAAGGAAGAAGAAAAGATTATTTTTAAGAAAGAAGAAAGTCATGTTAAGAAAGGAAATGAGTGTAAGGGAGATAAGAAGGAAAAAGAGTTGTATAAAAAGAGAAAAAAAAACTAAAGAAAGTGAATAAAAGAATAAAGATACATGAAAAGAAAGAAAGAAAGAAAGAAAGAAAGAAAGAAAGAAAGAAAGAAAGAAAGAATAAGATGAAAAGGACGAGAAAGAGACAAACGTTTTGTTTAAAAAACAAGGGTGAAATGATGGAAAAAAAAAGGAAGTCCTGAATAAAAACAAATAGGGGAAAACAATGAAGAAAAAAAGAGGACAAACGGAAAGAAGATATATGATAAGGAAGAAGAAAAAGAAAGAAAAAAAACGAATAGGAGAAAACAAATAGGGAAGAAGAAAGAAAGAAAGAAAGAAAGAAAGAAAGAAAAAGGACAAAAGGAAGGAAGACACATGATAAGAAAGAAAGAAAGAAAGAGAAGGAAAGAAAGAAAGAAAGAAAGAAAGAAAGGAAAAGAGGAGAAAAGAAGAGAAAACACATGATAAGAAAAAGGGATAGAAAGAAAGAGATAGGAAGAAAAGAAAAAAGAAAGAGGACAAAACGATATAATGATAAGGAAGAAAAAACAACTAAGGAAAAGAAAGAAAGAAAGAAAGAAAGAAAGAAAGAAAGAAAGAAAGAAAGAAAGGGAACATAATGGAGAAATGCAGTGCTTTTCATTCGGTACCGAGTCCGACACCCGTAGCAATAGTAGCAACAATAGTCATAATTCTAATACCATTTACACTAGTCATAGTATTAATAATAGCCACAATAGTAGTATTAATAATAGTAATAGCAATGGCAGTATTAATAATAGTGTTGTTATTGGCAGGAACAGGGGCGGGAGGAATGAGTCCGGGGTTGTGTGAATATGAGTGGGGAACCAAGTTGTTGGGGTTCGTGTCAAGGTGACCTGACCGATTATCCCAATTTCTCGTTTGCCGTGCATTCTTCTTTTTCTTCTTCGCCTTCCACCTCAGTCGTAGCGAATCGCGTCTCATCTCTCCGTCACACCCCTGCCAACAAACAAGGCGCCTTGAACAAACAAGATGAGGAAAAGCAAAGAAGAAGAAGAAGAAGAAGAAGAAGAAGAGCGGGAGAGGTAGTCAAGGTTACACAGTAATGGACAACACAAAACCAATAAGACCACCTCAGCGATCACCACGTCACACCTTTTCATTCCGTCAGTCTCTCTCTCTCTCTCTACTTGCCTCTCTTCTTTTGTCTCTCTTTCCCACTCTATGTCACTTCCTCCTCTCTCATTCTCCCTGCTTGTCTATCTCTCTGTCTCTCCAACAATCTCATGAAAGAATTTAAAGAAAAATAAATCGAACAATGTGTCACTCAAAATCGGTGATCTTCAAAGGAATTATTTCTCAAAGAAATCTCTCTTCTTTCTCTATCTCTCTTTCTATTACTTAGTCACCCCTTTCTTCGCTCTCTCTCTCTATCTATCTATCTAACTATCTATCTATCTATATATATATATATATATATATATATAAGATAGATAGAATGATAGATAGTTCTACGCATAAATATACCAAGAAAAAGATTTATACTCTTAAATGTTATATGGTGAGAAGTGATCACGTCAATAACTAAGTCTTTGTACCTGACCAAGCTATTTATAAATAGTTTACCTCTCAAAGAATTTAGTAATTCTCTCTCTTTCTCTTTGACACTGTCTTTATAACTCTTTTCTCTTTCTCTTCCCACCTCTCAACGTCTCTCTTTCTCATTAAACGTACATATAAGAGAGAGAAATACTAAGAAAATGATATCTTTCTTTCTCAATACAGATATTATCTTCGAATACATATGCTAATAAATAATAATTCTTCCTTCTCTCTCTATCTGTGTCTCTGTCATTGGCCCTGAAAAATTAATGAGCCCCTTTCTTTCCCTCTGTTCTGTGTCATATCTCATGGCATTTCCGGAAGATGAAAACAAGGAAAAAGTTTGTCTCTTACTCAAATTTGACCGTTCAAAACAAATCCACATATCAACAACTTCCATGAATTTTTCAATCAAGCCCTCATTTTCTTTTAGAGAAATCACAAAATTCTTTACATCTGTTCGGCTCCCAACAGTCATAAATAAACAAAACAAATAAATTTATAAAAGAAGAATTTTTTTATTCTATTTTACATCTTCTTTCCTGTTTTTTTTTTTTTTCGTTTTTTTTAATTATTTAATTTATATTTTATTTTCTATGCTTTCATCTTGGCTATACAAAACAACGGTTCATCGAACAAAAAAAAAACTCTTCATTACCTATATTCGGTAAGACAATTTTTTCTGACTTTCTCATAGCGCTGATCTCTCTCCTTCTCTCGATGCCATCCATATTTCTTACACTCTATCATTATTTCTTCTTCTTCTTCTTCTTCTTCTTCTTCTTCTTCTTCTTCTTCTTCTTCTTCTTCTTCTTCTTCTTCTATTTTTTTCTTAGCTACAAATTCGGATAAAAGTGTTTTTGGTGGGAAATGGGTAAAGTAAAAAGAATGACAGAAAGTGTGAAACGAACAGTATGTGTGTGTGTGTGTGTGTGTATGTGTGTGTGTGTGTGTGTGTGTGTGTGTGCGTGCGTGCGCGCGCGTGCGTGCATACATGCAGGAGGAGGGAAAGAAACAAAGAGAGGTCAGAGATAACTATCCATAACTATTACTGAATACAATATATATATATATATATATATATATATATATATATATTTTATATATATATATATATATATATATATATATATATATATATATATATATGCGTGTGCGTTTACATCCGTGTGTGTATGTGTGTAGTGGTGTGTGTTTGTGTGCGTGTCTGTGTCTATGTGTGTGCCTATGTGTATGTATAATTGAATCCTAGAGGCAGTTATTGAATTATGGAGAAAAAGACTTAAAGGAGATAAAAAAGCATTACCCCCAGAAACTTAAGGTCCCCTAAATTAAAGGACCCCCCCACACACACACACCAGACACACGCGCGCGCGCGCAGGACTATTTTACTTCCACGAACATTTTGATACTTCGTTTTTTAACTTTGTTATATCAATAAAAAACAAAAGAAAAGAAAAGAAATCTATTCTCGTGCGACGCTTACAGGTACGCAGTCTGAATCAAGGGAACGCCCACGAAAATCGGGCATTTTTTTTAGTGACGCCGAACTTGTCTTCATACAATATCTTGCTAAATATCTTTTCATCTTTTATCTCTCACCTTCTCACTTTGTTTCTATTCATAACCCCCACCCCACCTTTGTCTACTCATAACTATCCCTTCACTATCAGTCGTTTTATTGCTATCTATCAGTCTGCTTATATATGTCTGTCTATCTATCACAGCCCATTTTATTCTTTCTTTCTTTCTTTCTCAGTCCATTTCTTTCTATCTATCTATCTATCTATCTATCTATCTATCTATCTATCTATCTATCTATCTATCCTTTTCTTTCTTTCTATCTATCTATGTTAATATCTGTCACTCTATCTCATTCTGTTCATATCTATCTATCTATCTATCTATCTATCTATCTGTCTGTCTGTCTATCTATCTATCTATCTATCAGTCTGTTAATATATATTTATCAGTCTGTCCATCTATGCCTGCCTCTAATAACTCCCCCTCCCTCCCTCCCTCCCTCTCTCTCTCTCTCTCTCTCTCTCTCTCTCTCTGTCTTTTCCTCCTCTCTTTATTGACTAATTCTATTGTCTGTATCCCCACTCGCAAAACATTTATTTACAATGCTTGTTTGGCACAAGGCCACATGTGCATAGGGCATCCAATGAACATAGAACTAATTCCCTCTCTCATTCCCTCTTACACACTCTCACACACACGTTCTCTCTCTCTCTCTCTCTCACACACACACACACACACACACACACACACACACACACACACACACACACACACACACACACAGAGACATACCCACACGGTATTACTTTATTTAATTGTGTTTCCAAAACCACCACATCACGGTTAAGCGCTGAGTTCAGCTGGACACACTTACAATAGTGGAAAACCCAATGAATAACGAACTCACTGCATATGTTCTTCTCTCAAACAAAACATTCGGAGTTCGATTCTCAGTCGTTGCTTCGCTATTTTAATTTTGTTTCAT